CGCATGTTAATATTCATTTGATGCGTCGGTGCCCATTCAACGTGTCGGTTCCGGAAATCGATCGGGAGTTCAAGTATTCCACGTAACGTCAAAGTTGGCCGGCAAATTTCAATCAAGCTGCACGACATTGTTTATTCATCCTAGAAGCTGACGAAGTTGGTCACTGGGTGGGTGAGGGAGAAAAAGACCTCTGCATCGTTCGATGGAGCCACCGTCCCACAAATACTAGAGAAAGAAGCACCTGGTCTAGACAGATTAAGTCGACGTTTGCATCAGCCCAGCAAATGTGACTAAAAACTCCTGTTAACATCCTCGGCCTGAAAGGTATCTACAGTACAGCGTAAATGCATCCTGTGTTTGGCATGGCCTTAACGTTGTAACACGAAGATCAAGGGAGTCAAAGCTGGCGGAATTGCTCACGTTACGTGCCGCACGTGCATAAGCGCATGTGATAACATTTTTCATTTTGATTATGCGCGGTTGTTTCTGTTTTGGGCCATTCGTAACTCACATAACACAACGAAGGGGATGGGAGTTTTATGTGGACTGTGAGAAAGGGTGATAAATGAGGACGGGTTTTTGATTCCCTAGCGTTGCACTTATGTCTGGTTGCTAGTCATGCAATGTTACCAACACGTCAGTCTTTCACAGATCTAGCTCAGTTATGAGTCAACAGAACGCTGCCTTTTTTGGACGTTGCGGTCACACATTTTGGCAATGCCAAATAACTCGCGCTAACGCCCCAACGGAAACGTGCACACGGTTTGGTCCCACGGAAACTCCATGAGAAAACCCACGGAAACGCCGTCTTACCTGCGTACGGCGGTCGTCTCTTGGACTAACCTCATGTGTCTCATGTGGAATATCTTTCGCCATAGAGTAGAAGTCTGCGCTTGATATCCATCATATTCATCACAGCCGTCTTCACCTGCCATGTGTTGGATCTTTTCAGGCGTCTCCTGGGAGAGCTCTGCTGCTGCTCTTCTGCGCCGTCTTCGGTGTCGAGAGTGCCCGCATTTTGATGTTCTCACCCATCGGAGCGAAATCTCTAAAGGGCGTATTCTACGGATTGGGCACTGCTCTCAATTCCCGAGGCCATGAAGTGGTGTTCTTCAACGGGTTCAAGCCTTCAACTCCTGTCAAAGGCATCAAGGAGGTTGTACCGGATGAACTTGCGACGCTGTATGCGGACGAAAACATGCCGAACATGTTTAAGATGAATGAAAAAGGCATCCAGGCTGGATTTAAGCAGTACGCAACATTCATGTCTGAGGGTCCACGTGCCACATTAGCGAGCAAGGAGGTCGATGAGCTTTTGAAAGAGAAATTCGACCTGGTCATGTTTGGTCCGCTCGGTTACCCTTTCTATTTCATGGCACATCTGCTCAAAGCACCATTCATTCTGATATCTCCGATCTCTTACTATCCAGTTATGACAAGTGTGTTGGGCTCACCGACGCTTCCTGCTCTTCAACCTCTTCCACTCACTGCGTCAACTGACCAGATGAGTTTTATGGAACGCGTCAAAAACATCCTGGGGTACGTCTTTTTGCACTCCGCACCCAACATCGTGTACGCAAGGTATGCGGACAAAATGGTTGCAGAAAAGTTCGGCGATGGCGTGATTCCTCCAGCCAGGGAGATCGAACGCAATGCCAGCCTTGTCCTTCTCAACAGCAACCCAATGATCGACTACCACAAGCCGCTGCTGCCCAATGTCATCGAGGTGGGTGGACTGCATTGTGCGGACGCGAAGCCCCTGTCCAAGGAGCTGACCAGCTTCCTCGGCGACTCAGAGTACATATTCTTCAGTCTGGGCTCCGTGGTACGTCCTCAGGACATGTCTGCGGGCCAACGCTCGGCTGTGCTCAACGCCCTCGGTGCGATGCCGTTCAAGGTCCTGCTCAAGTGGGACACCACAGACCGCACCAACATACCGGCCAACATCCTGCCGTCCAAGTGGCTGCCACAGCAGGACATCCTGGGTGACAGCAAGTGCAGGCTGTTCATCTCACACGGCGGCTTCGCCAGCGTTCTGGAAGCCCTCTGTCATGGCGTTCCCATGGTGGTCATGCCCGTAACGGTAGACCAGCACTGTAACGCGGCTCACGCCGTTGATCTCGGCGTGGCCGAGATCCTGACGTGGGAGAGCCTGACGTCCGAGACGCTGCAGGCGGCCATCCGCTCCGCCATGTCTGCCGGGCACCGGGCGGCGTCCCGCTACCGCCAGGAGCTGCTGGCCTCTCTGCCGGTGCCGCCCCGTGACCTGGCCGTGCACTGGGTGGAGCACGTGATCCGGCACGGCGGCGCGCCGCACCTCAGGTCGGTGGGCGCCGACCTCAACTTCTTCCAGTACTACTCGCTCGACGTGGTCGCCTTCCTGCTGGCAGTACTGATGCTGGTGCTAAAGCTGCTCGTGGCACTGGGCAAGTGTTGCTGCCGCTGTCTGTGCAGGCGGAAGACAGGTCCGGCGCAAACGAAAACCAAACGGTCCAAACGTGACTAGCTGCATGAAATCTTTACAGCGTGCCCACAAGTGCTGTAGTACAAGTATCTGAACGAATGGCGGCTGCCTATTCGACATTGACACGTTGATTTGTCATCAGGTGTGCATGCAGGTCGAGGCTGTCTACATGATATCTTGTCTACATCATGTCAATTGAGCATTTGGAACACTGTCATTATGTGCGTTGATTCGTCCGGCTTGCGATTATTCCACAATAATGTTTAATATAGCATACTGTTTAATGGCTTTGTGGATATGAGACCAGCATTAGGTTGCCGCAACCAAACAGACTTTTGGTTAGCAGCAGCCGGGCTACATCATGGGTGTTGCGAGAACACGCATTGGCAAGCTAAACAAAGCTCGATACGTGTCTGTAGTTAGCATATTTAAACACAGTTAATGGCTTTCATTTGAAGGTGCTGTCAATGCGTGTTTACCACCCAGTTGGCACGCGCGCCGTACGCAAGTCCTGGGCTGCCATAAGCTGCATGTAGTAGCTGCATGCGCTGACAAATATATCTCTAAGTGTCTGGTGGTCGTGGATCGCGGCGAGCTTGCCTAGCCAGTGTGCCGAGCCAGAATGGCTGAGCAGAGATTAGCGATTGCCGTTGTCAGGAGGAGACTGCGAACCAGATAAGTGCAGATCAAAGAGCTGGATAGTAAGCTGGATAGTGTTATATGTCGCCTGTAGTTGACTGATCACATGGTTTATGATCCAGGCCTTCACGAATAGTGTTTGAACTATCGTCCAATGCACTTTTTGTTAAGCTCATATACTTTCTAAGGCCGCCCTGCAGCAGTCTGGCAGTTGATATTTGGATGCTTGCTTTACTTTACCAAAGTTGTGCATGAGATCGATGAAATAACACCTGCGTGGTAGAAAAGTCTAATAAACGTATCTTTAACGGGATCATCACAAATTCTCACTAAAATCTTTGATCCATAAAGCATTACTCGTGGACAAATGATCGACGTTGAGACAAGGTATTCCGATTCGGAGCAACATGACACGTGCAGCCAACGCCCAAGCATGTAGAAACTCTGATCAACAGACACGTCTGATAGCGGCAGCCTGCGGCTTGTCATCACGTTCGGACCGCAATCCTCACAGTCAACGTTACGCCTGCGCACTACGCACGTTCATTGCGAACTGTCACCCACGTGCACCGGCATTGTTTTCCGATAATAACTGATGTCTCCTACTCATCCCCCAATACGCGCACTGATAAGCCCGTGGCGAGAGCGGCGAGCAATGCTGCTCTCTCTCTTCCTCCAACTGTGAGGTGGACAGTAACGTCCAACTGCAGACAATTGCGCTCACATCTGGACTGTCTGCTGCGTCACGCGGGTGAAAACAGCTTTTACGCTCAGACCCATTCACATTCAACATCGAACTGTTACGATGCTCATCAGACCTGGCCTTGAAGTAGTTGACGAGCTCATTATCATGGTGCAAACTATTTTGCACTGCGGTGTCGTAGTTTACCGTCTGCAATGTGCGTGTGGTTTTATGTTTGTGATCCATGATGGAGGAAAATACATGTTAGGGAGGATGCTTAGTATGTTTACTATCCTTAGCAAGCCTGCTGCTACACTCGAGAGAAAGCGGGGTACGCTGCTGTTGCGAGCTTATGCTATCCGGTGCCAAATTAACCCTTTTGTGTTACCGGACGTTTGTTCTCCGTGGCAGGAGCACATCAAAAGCGTTTTTGGTGTAGGCCTAACTACCTAGTTTGTTATCGTGTACTACATCGCACAGCATGTACACACTGTATTGTGCTCGCATATATCTCAGTTGAGGTGCAATGCGCGTGGTCTCACGCCAAACACCCTGTTTGCACGCTCGGTGCCCTCTTGCTACCGAGCTGCGTGTTAAGCTCGCCATATTTTCTCGGGATCAACCACAAAGTGTTTGTCATTTTCTGGAACACACTTGATGTCCACCTAAAAGCCATTTCAAATAACGGTAGCCGCCGATCGCACGCACCGAAGCGGTTGGCTGCGAGTGCAGTTCGGGTCAGGTCATCAGCGTTTGTTCGCAAGGATCGATTACTCCCAAGGCTTGACACTGCTGGGTGGGATGACGTGTCGGCATGGGTCCGCTGGGCGGGGGACATATCCCTCATTTTTCTCAAAACATGGTCGCGTTGTTACAGTTACTTTAGTACTGTTTTTTCCATTGGTATCAAACAAAAATAATAATCTACTGGTTTGATTGATGATTGATGATTGGTGATTCATATGATGATGGATGATTCATAAACAAAACGAAAGTGCCATTTTCGTTTCTCGAGAAAACGTCTGTTCAAGGCAAACCATAACGTTCATACAGGTAGCAAAAGTACAGAATCGCAACCCTGCCATGTGACTTCTTACGTACGAAACGCGCCAATGTACCGTCTCATCGCGACGCCGTCCCGTTCCACTGTTCACACTGCGCATGCGCTATCGGCATCAGGCGTCCTCGTTATCGCGCTACAGACGCGATGTGACACCTGGCGACGACAGTGAGACGGAACATCGGCTTCAAACATGGTACGTGCGTCGTATTCTGGTGTTGTTCCGAAATACGGTGTCGTGTTACCACGAGCATTAACCAGCACTGGGGTAATGGAGGTAATTTTCCCCTGTCCTCGGAAGATTATCTCACAATAACCTCCGAATAGTCCGGTGAAGCCGAGTTAAACTTTATATAGTCGCAGGCAATTGAATATCCGACTTTTGGTGACGAAAGTTAGGCGTACCTTGTAAGGTTGGTGACTTTTGAGATGTGAAAGTCAAATCATGCTGTCAGCGACGAAATATCCTAAGGAATTGTCTAATCCCATGCAACAACGGATTATGAGATGGAGCAATTCATCTTTAAAGTGGTTTCTTAGATAGACAATTTAATTTACAGTTATGATAAGTTCCATTGGCTGTGGGTCACTTGTTAATGTCAAGCAATGAGCAAAACTTAACTGCGTTGTAATTGGATAACTTGCATGAGGGCATAATTGTCAACGTCCATTTCAAAATTCTTGATCACATGGATGTCAACGTACATCTCGTCCGGACCTCGGGGTAGCTAGAAGAGGTCAACAACTTAAAATGACACCGATCAACTCTATATATTTTGGAACATACGACGTCGCGTAATCCTGGAAGCTCATTTAATTTAAAAGGTCAAAACAACCTCGTGTGTTCTTGTTGTTACCGTGACCCTCAGCAGGGCAAGTAAGTTAATAAACCTGTAATGAATATCAGTAAACTTTTGCTTGGAAGAGGTATCTAGGTTAAAACTGAAAAGATAGGATTCCAACCAGGCTGCTTGTATTTAACGGGAGCTTTCGAGAAAACCTCTATCCCTTCTTCAGCCTTGGTCAGAAAACGATATTCAGAAGAGTAGATCTGGGTGTGCATCAAGAAAAAACCTAGAAATTCACACGCAATCTAATGTACCCATCCCTCTTAGGTAACAAAAGTATATAAGATAACCCGTTTTACATTCATCCGCAGGCAAATTGTGCAAACTGTTGACAAAGAGCACATGCTACACTCTCAAATTTCGATACGATTTTGATGCGTTTCCTCTGAATGTTTCGACGTCACATGACAGCTAAGTGTCGATGCACATACCTTATAAACGTGTGGATAGTCGTTCCACATTTCGGAACCGATTGAGCAGCAACGCATACGGCATGATGCAACGACAAAGCAAGATAACGCACGCGTGTGCAAATTGCCTGACCTATCGCCCTCTATGGGACTCCTCATTACACAGAGCACTATATCAAAGACTCCAAAGACTTTGGTGCTTTCATTCACACCTTGAAGATAGTGGCAGATGAAGCTATGGTATGTGATGCAGTGTGCCTTTTCGCATCGATTCCCCCTGAAAAGGCTTACGAAACGATAGCACGACTAATCCACGAGATGAGCAGCGAGAATAGAATCGTTAAGTACCAGCCGAGATGAAAGTAAACGGCAATACTCGGTTTTTACGCACTGGCCTTGCTACCACCTACTTGCAGATAAATGGCGATTTTACGGCGGTAGGAATTGCTGTCAGCATGGTGGTAACCACTTCGTTTATGGATAATCTGGAACGACAGGCTTTGGACACTTTTCCTCATTAGGTCAAGTTATGGAGGATGTTGTAGACGACACGACTGCCGTTTTAAAAGGGCACCATGTTCCAGAGCTATCCCTGGGCACTGGAACGACGCGTGCCTAGGTATCAAATTCACCAAAGCGATGGAGGCGAATGACTCTCTTGCTTTTCCCAACATGTTAATGTCATGATCAGGAGACAGCAGTATTGGCACAAAAGTGTTTAGGAAGGTGGGCCATACGAATAAGCACATGGAATTCATGCCACATCACAGCAATCAACACGAGTCAGTGGTTAGATCGCCCGCACAAGGAGCGCAAATATTTTCATTAAGGCCCGACAGAAATTGGAAAGAGGCTGGGTACATTAACGAAGCTTTGAAATTCAATAAGTACGCAAAACATTTCTTTAAAAGTTTGGCAAAAGCGTAATTATGTAAGAACACAAAACGCATCAAAAGACAATCGGCCCTTCGTGACTTTACCTTACGTGAAAGGAGTAGCAGAAGGCAACGCGGCTTTTAAAACCACACGCTCGTGTAGCCGCCAAACCGTATGCAAACCTTAGAAGTTACCTAGCTCGGCATAAAGTCAAGTTAAAGCGGACCAAAAGATAGAAATAACTCACCGATGCATATGCGAATGCAGCAAGGTTAATGAGGTAGCGATGTGTGGAAGCTTAAAGACCAGAAGGGATGAACACCAGCGAGCGATATAAAACGCAGATATAAACCATTCCGGCTTATCGAAGCACGTTCTGGACACGAGTTATCGCAGCGCGTGAGAGGAGAGCAGGAGGGATTTTGCATTATAAGACAAACTGGAGAAAAAGAAAGATTAAGGAGGGTATTTTTATTTCTAGAACAACCAGAGACAAACTTTGGAATGCAAAACCGGGGGTAACGATAGCGATTGGAAATCGAATTTTGAAATGCCAGGACTAGAACAGAAAAAGAGCAGTCGGTCAGGGGCCTTGCGTAATATGGGACGTGGTAACAGGCCTGGGGCCGGAGCACTTGTGCACCTTTGTGTTATCTTGTTTTACTGTTGCGATGTCATATGCGCCATTATTGAATCGATTCCGAAGTGTGGAATGACTATGCACACGTTTAAGAGGTATGCGCCGTGACAGTTAGCTGTCATGTAGCATCGTAACATTCAGAAGAATGAGCTGAAATCGTATCGAAATTGTGGGTGCGTCGCATGTATTCTTCATTAACGGTTTGCATTGTTTATCTGCGTGTGAAATGTAAAACCGGTCATCTATCTTTGTTTTGTTGCATAATAGGAGTGGGTAAATTAGGTGGCATGTTACTTCGAGCTTTTTTCATGATGCGACCAAAATCTGTTTTCATGAATATCATTGACTAAGGCTGCAGACGGCATAAATTGTCCCGAAAGCTCACGTTGAATACAAGCAAGCTTGTTGTATTTTGTCTTTTTACATTTACAATGTCCCAGGTCAATAATATTTTGAAACATATCTAGGTTAAAGGTGGTTATATCGGAAGGTCTGGAGACATTTCGGGCCCCGATGTAGAGTTTGACCTTGTTTGGCTTTGTTTTGAGCAAAGGTGAAGACCTAGGCACCGAAAACCACAAAATAAGTCTACCCACAGGTCTGCGTACTCCGTGGAGTTGGTGTTGGTGTACTCCGTGAAGCTGACGAATCTGGTCACTGGGTGGGTGAGAGCGAATCAGACCTTGGCATCGTTCGATGGAGCCACCGCCCCATAAATACTAGAGAAAAAACGCCTGGTCTAAACAGATCAAGTCCACGTTTGCATCAGCCCAGCAAATGTGACTAAAAACTGCTGTTAACATCCTCGGCCTGTAAGGTATCTACAGTCGAGCGCAAAAGCAACCTGTGTTTGATATGGCCTTAACGTTGTAACACGAAGATCAAGGGAGTTAAGGCTGGCGGAAATGCTAACGTTACGTGCCGCGCATGCATAGGCGCATATGATAGCTTTTTATTTTGGTTATGTGCGGTTGTTTCTGTTTTGGGCCATTCATAACTCACATAACACACGGAAGGGGATGGGAGTTTTATGTGGACTGTAAGAAAGGGTGACAGAGGAGGAGAGCTTTTTTGACTCCCTAGCGTTGCACTCATGTCTGGCTGAGGTTTCCAATGTTACCAACACGTCAGTCTTTCACAGTTCTAGCTCAGTTATGAGCCAACAGAACGCTACCTTTTTTGGACGTTGCGTTCACACATTTTGGCAATGCCAAATAACTCGCGCTAGCGCCCCAACGGAAACGTGCGTACGGTTTTGTCTCACGGAAACTCCATGAGAAAACCCACGGAAACGCCGTCTAGCCTGCGTACGGCGATCGACTCTTGGACTAATCTCATGTGTCTCATGTGGAATATCTTACGCCATAGAGTAGTAGTCTGCGCTTGACATCTATCATAATCATCACAGCCGTCTTCACCTGCCATGTGTTGGATCTTTTCAGGCGTCTCCTGGGAGAGCTCTGCTGCTGCTCTTCTGCGCCGTCTTCGGTGTCGAGAGTGCCCGCATTTTGATGTTCTCACCCATCGGAGCGAAATCTCTAAAGGGCGTATTCTACGGATTGGGCACTGCTCTCAATTCCCGAGGCCATGAAGTGGTGTTCTTCAACGGGTTCAAGCCTTCAACTCCTGTCAAAGGCATCAAGGAGGTTGTACCGGATGAACTTGCGACGCTGTATGCGGACGAAAACATGCCGAACATGTTTAAGATGAATGAAAAAGGCATCCAGGCTGGATTTAAGCAGTACGCAACATTCATGTCTGAGGGTCCACGTGCCACATTAGCGAGCAAGGAGGTCGATGAGCTTTTGAAAGAGAAATTCGACCTGGTCATGTTTGGTCCGCTCGGTTACCCTTTCTATTTCATGGCACATCTGCTCAAGGCGCCATTCATTCTGATATCTCCGATCTCTTACTATCCAGTTATGACAAGTGTGTTGGGCTCACCGACGCTTCCTGCTCTTCAACCTCTTCCACTCACTGCGTCAACTAACCGCATGGGTTTTATGGAACGTGTCAAAAACATTCTGGGGTACGTCTTTATGCACTCCGCACCCAGCATCGTGTTCGCAAGGTATGCGGACAAAATGGTTGCAGAGAAGTTCGGCGAGGGCGTGATTCCTCCAGCCAGAGAGATCGAACGCAATGCCAGCCTTGTCCTACTCAACAGCAACCCAATGATCGACTACCACAAGCCGCTGCTGCCCAATGTCATCGAGGTGGGTGGACTGCATTGTGCGGACGCGAAGCCCCTGTCCAAGGAGCTGACCAGCTTCCTCGGCGACTCAGAGTACATATTCTTCAGTCTGGGCTCCGTGGTACGTCCTCAGGACATGTCTGCGGGCCAACGCTCGGCTGTGCTCAACGCCCTCGGTGCGATGCCGTTCAAGGTCCTGCTCAAGTGGGACACCACAGACCGCACCAACATACCGGCCAACATCCTGCCGTCCAAGTGGCTGCCACAGCAGGACATCCTGGGTGACAGCAAGTGCAGGCTGTTCATCTCACACGGCGGCTTCGCCAGCGTTCTGGAAGCCCTCTGTCATGGCGTTCCCATGGTGGCCATGCCAGTGACGGTAGACCAGCATTGTAACGCGGCTCACGCTGTTGATCTTGGCGTGGCGGAGATCCTGACGTGGGAGAGCCTGACGTCCGAAACGCTGCAGGCGGCCATCCGCTCCGCCATGTCTGCCGGGCACCGGGCGGCGTCCCGCTACCGCCAGGAGCTGCTGGCTTCTCAGCCGGTGCCGCCCCGTGACCTGGCCGTGCACTGGGTGGAGCACGTGATCCGGCACGGCGGCGCGCCGCACCTCAGGTCGGTGGGCGCCGACCTCAACTTCTTCCAATACTACTCGCTCGACGTGGTCGTCTTCCTGCTGGCGGTACTGGTGCTGGTGCTGAAGCTGCTGGTAGCTCTGGGCAAGTGTTGCTGCCGCTGTCTGTGCAGGCGGAAGACAGGTTCGGCGCAAACGAAAACCAAACGGTCCAAACGTGACTAGCTGCATGCCATCTTTACAGCGTGCCCACAAGTGCTGTAGTTCTAGTATCTGAAAGAATGACGATTGCCTTTTCGGCATCAATACGTTTATTTGTCATGGGGTGTGTTCGCAGGTCGAGTCTGTTGACATGGTATTTTATTTACATGATGTACAGTAAACTTTCGAAACGCTCGCGTGCTTTCACGCCAAACACACTGTTTGCACGCTCGGTGCCCTCTTGTTAGCGTGCTGCGTGCCTAGCTTGCCATATTTTCTCGGGATCAACCACAAAGTGTTTGTCATTTTCTGGAACACACTCGATGTCCATCCGGAAGTCATTTCAAATGACTGTAGCCCCCGATCGCACGCACCGAAGCGGTTGGCTGCGAGTGCAGTTTGGGTCAGGTCATGAGCGTTTGTTCGCAAGGATCGATTACTCCCAAGGCTGGACACTGCTGGGCGTGAAGTCAAAATTGTGTTAAGCTGGCTGAATGACGTATCGGCATGGGTTCTCTAGGCGGGGAGCATTTCCCCCATTTTCCAAAGGCATGACCACGTTGTTATTGCTACCTTAGCACCGTTTTGTCCATTTGTACCAAATGAAACAGTGATCCACTTGTTCGAATGTTCATCAACAAAATGAAGGTGCCATTTTCGTTTTTAGAGAAAGCGTCTGTTCAAGACAAATCTTAACGTTCATACAGGTGGCAAAAGCACAAAATCGTAACCCTCCTGCATAATTTGTTACCAAGGGTGTCATTTTTTGTAAAACTATTGGGGGGCAGAACCGAACGCCCAACAGCCTGCCCACCCACATTTTTTTCTCATCGGATTTAGTTCACTCCATTTTGATGAAAGGCAAGATACGTTTTTAAGCTTTGTGTACTTTATAAAAAGGATCCATGGAACAGGCGCCTCTTCGGATAGACAAGTGAAGGCGCCCCTTTAGAGGCCTCCTCAGGGCGCCGGAGACACTCTTCTATGGCGGTCACGGGAGGCGGCACGCATGTTGGTCGTGGGGGACGGGGAGGGTTAGGGTGGCCATGAACGACTTACGCGATTCCCGTATTCCATAGCCTCTCACTTGAGCTTCTCACTTTTCACTCACTCTCTGCCAATATTAGACATAACTAATCATCAGGTTTCAATAGAGTGCGTTCTTGAAATATGCCCTTAGGTCCGTCCCCTTACACACTCCTACACACGCCTTTTAAACAAATCCATACACCTCTGTGGTAATTTCTTAGACAATTAGTCCATCGAGGTCAGGATTACGACTAATTTCACTGAACTTGAGTCAGTATGAAGGTAAGACCGAGATCAAGACCAAACTGTTTTTTTCAAATGACACCTTATCTAGATTTCTTGAAAGTCAGAGAAGATCACTGACCTAAAGTGACCAGCACCAAGCGTTTCTCCGACCGGCGTGACCTGAAGTAAACACCCGTGAAACTTTGCATAGATCAGGTATCTAGGGATTAAAGCGGTTGCATAAGGAGGTCTGGAGGTACTTGGGCCACCGATCTGGAGTTTAGCCTTATTTGGTCCAATGGTCAGTCAGTACTTTGACCTAGTCTATCTCAAAATTTGACACAAGTGAGCTCATACACAGGCCTTTCTACCGCGTGGGTTTACTGCTTCTTGTTCTCCTGCCTTTTAACCCAGGGTCAAACTGACCTCCCATTCTGAGCGCGCCGCGATCAAACGGCCATACGTGCGCGTGTTAAATTATTGTTGTGACCTGATGCGTGCCTAAATATCCATGAAATGACCACATTTTGTAAGACACTTTAATTTCATGCAGGCTAGATCTCCATCAGAATTACAAATTAGTAACAAACCATCCTTCAAGATAAGTATCACTTAAATGTGTACGATTGTGCATTATTAAATGTTAAGATTTTCTGCTGCGCATGTCGATTCTCATCTCCCTTGAAATCTGAAAGTTTCATTTAAACCCAAATATATTAATTCCCTGGAAATCGCGATGGCATGCGGCCAAACATTTTGAACTATAATGACTATGGGACACCAGATGAAATGAGCATTTCCCGTACTTTTGCCGCAAAATGTAGCGGGCAAGTGTAGGTCCAAATATATATGACATCAAAACGACGCCATTATTAGTGGTGGCATACAATTATCCGAGTTTAACTAGCATGGCTGACTTGTAGTTAACAGATGATATCCGTAGAAAAGGTCAGGGATGTGGCAGCTAGCAGGCTTTGCCTTTCTACGAACCAGCTGGCCGCAACGCGCAAAATGCTCGCAAAAAATAAGTTGCTCCGAAGACACGCCAATCGACATTGCCGAGACTTAACTTTGACAGAGCTGAAATCAACGAAGCTATGCTGACCACATTGTGATGGGCGAAACGCGCGGTGGAGGGCTCGCCTTCCAGAACAATTGTTCGTATATGGCTCGCCGAAGAGGGCCATTGGCTGCTGCCTTGACAACGCCAGCCTGATCACAGGGCGCCGAGAGTCGTGTAATTGCATGACACGGTAAAGGTCCCTTAGTGGTATATGGGTGAGGGCCCGATGCAGAGTGGATCCGTGTTACCAAAATTACATTAATGGAATGTTGGGTGGGAGTGGAAGAAATTCATGACTTTTAGCAATGGATCCGATTCCAAATTTGTCCCACCAAAATTTTTATTTTTTCTGTCTGTTATGTGTATTATACACCCATTTCATAGCTGAGGCTTCATTCTAAAGTAACGGTGCCGCACCAAAAATATCATTCTGTTACTCGATTTTATTTTCTCATGAGACAATACTTTAAAGAAAGCCGGATTTTAATGAAGAAACAATGCTAGGCTCGTTGCCTTCCATGGGTAGCAGACGAAATATCGCTCGGGATAAAAGTATCACGAGACCAGTGAGTCAGTGGCGTCAGTATTATGTTTAGTTTGCGGGAATAAGCGTCTGGTGCTTTGTTTGACGAGCAAAAAAGTCATATGTGAAAAGGGTTAACTCGCCCTATTCAAAGTTACCCATCATTTGAGGAAATAATTTGAGGCTGTATGTATCAAGGTGACCTGCTGCATCCTCCATACCGACGCCACTGCGCAGTAAGACCAAGGAAGATAGCCTTCATGTGATAGTCGTCTTTTGCCTATGTTTTTTTGCGGCATTCCAGCCAAAACCATTGGGGTGGGGCCAAGCCAACTTTGCGGGGGGAGGGGGAAATCAACAGTTGGGCGGGGAGGGGGGCAGTGCGCCCCCAAAATATAAATCGAGACCTGTGCTTCTTACGTAAGAGGGACATCAATCTACCGACTCGCCGCTGCACCGTCCCTTACGTTTCTAACTCGCGCACTGCGCATGCGTCATTAGAAGCAGGCGTCCTCGTTGTCGCATGACAGACGCCGTTGGGCATCTGGCGACGGGGCTGCGTCGGAACGCCGCCTCCAAACATGGTACATGCGTTGTATTTTGGTGTTCTTCCGTTAGCTACAATCGCTTTTGAGTTAGGCTGGGGATGAAAATTCTATCGCGAAAGGACCGTACCGTAGTGAAAAATCTAACTCACAGGCTGGAACTTGTGATTCAGTGAGAGATGCTCCAGCAAACAATGACATACATCTCAAGTCGGTATGAACGTAATATCATGAACATGACAAAAATGCTTTCGCTTTTTCTCATCTTAAGTTATCACACTGAAACAAATTAGATTAAAGAAAAGTGATTTCAAAATGGTGTGATGAGCACCAAAAACTATGGAATACCGATGCTTTGATGCTGTACCTAACACTTCCCTTCCACAGGATTGTTTAATACAGAACAAAGCGAGAAAAATCAACAACAGAAAACAATATGACACTCAGCAAGCATAAAACATTAAAACAAAAAAAGCCCTGGACTCGTGCACAACACATCACGAAATCAAACAAAAAAGACATACTTTTGGCTTCTGTTACGATGGGGTCGGGAAATACAAATATTGTGTTACTGTTTTTTTGCAAAATGCCTATGCTTATCTCCACGAAAGTAACCTAACTAAGCCTAACCTAAAGAAGCATTACCTCATCTCCCAACTGCTTCTTGCCATGCAAGCAAGAAACTTAACCTGATATAGTGTAATACATATGTTGAACATCGTCTTAACTCACCTGACCTATTTCTTGACAGCAGGAGTTGTGAGAGAAACATGGTACAGGTTATTTTTGGCTGGTTTGAACTTGAATTTGGTTCGATTCCGTTGAGTCAGCTTATTGACACCAGCCAAAGTTGGCAAGACACGGATCAAAACCCAGGAGCGAACTGAGAGGACATGACTATCCATTAACTATTTAAATCACTGGACCAGTTTATTCTGATTGTTATGGCTAGCCTCTGTCAAGGGCAATAGTGGGTATACTCAACAAAACAATCTCTTCTGAAGTACGATGTCGTGGCGGCGCAAGCAGTAGCCCGCGCTGGGGATTTATCCCTATCTTCGAAGATTTTCTCACAATAACATCCGAATAGCCCGGCGAAACCGGGCTAATCTTTGTATAGCTGAAAGCAATTGAATAGCCGATTTTTTGTGAGAAAAATTAGACGTGAGTTCTACAGTTGTTCATCTATAAGGTGTGAAAGTCAAACCATGGCTGTCAGCAGCGATAAATCCCAGGGAATCGTTCAATCCGATGCAAGAACGGAGTATGAGACGAAATCACTCGTCTTTGAGATGGTTTCTTAGACAGACAATTTAATTGAGATTTTTGATAAATCCATTGACTGTGGATCAAATACTTAGTGCAATCCAACGGCAAGACTCAACTGTTCTGTTTACTGGATAATTTGCATTAAGGGATAATTGCCGACGCTCATTTCTAATTTCTTGATCACGCAGACGTCAACGGACATCTTATCTGGACTTCAGGATGGCTAGAAGAGGTCAATGGCCTAAAAGAACACTGATCGATTCTTCATTAAGAACACACAGCCTTACGTAATCATCGACATTGATTTAACTAAAAACATCAAAACACCCTTGTAGGTTTTTTGGTCACATGACCTTCTGAAGGACAAATGACTTGCCTGCCATGATATGCCAATGACCTGCCAATAACTTAATCAGCCTGCCATGAGCGCCAGAAACCTTTTTCTTGGAAGGGGTATATGGGTTCAATGTTAAAAAGATAATATTCTAACTACCTTGCTTCCATTTGAGGAGAGCTTTCGGGAAAATCTATATTCCTTTTTAGCCTTGGTTAGAAAATGATATTCACAAAAGTAGAATTAAGAAGGCACTAAGAAAAAATCCAAAAGATCACATATAATCTAACACACCTATTCCGCTAAGGTAACGAAGGTAAAATAGACAACCGGTTTTATGTTTCAGCCGCAAATAAATCGTACAAACTGCTAACAAAGAACACATGCAACGCACTCACAAATTGCGTTACCATCTTGATGCATTTGTTCTGAATGTTGCTATGTCACATGACAGCTGTCACCGCGCATATCTCTTAAACATGTGCAACTATGCATGTGCGACGATACTAAACATGTGCAGCCAGCGCATATAACATATTTTTCATGGCGGTTATGTGCGATTGTCTCTGGCTTGGCGACCATTCAACAACTGCATAACGCACGGAGATGGATGGGAGGTTTGTGTGAACTGTAACGAAAGGTAACAAAGGAGGAGGGCTTTCTAGACTGCCCAACGTTACGTTCAGATATTGTTGCAAGTCATGTCATGTTACCAACATGACATGTTTTTTTGTGCGTTGTGTGTTTTGTGTGTGAACATGTCATCTTTCACAGCTCTAGCTCAATTACAAAGACGGAACACAAGTCCGTGTCAGACGAAAACCAAGCGGTCCGAACGGAATTATCAGCAGGAGTGGTTAAAGGGAATGTCCCACATTTGAAGATATTGAGGTAGGCATCAGATATGATGGGAAAAGCTTACTTGTAGCTATTGGTAAGCTTTGAAGGCTAAAAATGACGCTAAGTAACACAATTTCAGAGTTGGTAAAAATGCGCCCCATTACGTTATTGTTTGATGACGTCATGGAATGGTTCTATGACGACAGCAATACCTGGCAGCATCTGGCACCCAGACCTAAAGAATGCCTCGATGCATATGAAAGCTGACGCCAACTGACCATTGCAGTCGCGGGGGCTGTGTCGAGTGGCGGATTAGTGGGTGGTTTATTTGTGTCTTGCTGCTGGCCGTAAGGAAAGCTTTGGTGGACTGTTTGACATACGCAACGTAGCGATCGCCAGATTTTATGGCAGATTATTAATATCATGGCACGATATGCTGTGCTGCTGCGGTTGCTGCTGCGCTCTTGATGATTTTGTCAATAATTTATTGTCAGCCCATCGTTGCTTGCAGTGTTGTAGTCCTGACATTGATATCATGTGATGTGCATAGTAGTTACTTTATTGTTTGTACCTGGAAATGCGGTGCCATGCGAAAATAACTAAATTTGTAACGTTGTTATGAGTTGATTACCAAAACATAGCCATTGCTATGGTAAAGATGGTAAGGTTGGGCTACCAATAATTTTTTTGCTTAGAATTATTTATGCAATTAATAGTCAACTCTGACATAACCATTGTGATGCGATGACATTCTTGCTACTCACAGTCCTTTGGCATTACTAAATCAGTTGTAACCAGTCATAAACTATAAGCTGCTGTCCCACAGGCTTGCCAGAGTAGTCACCCAATATGGTACATTTCGTAATGGCACGGGTCAACAGCTGTGGCACTACCTCAGTGCTGTACTGTGGCATGACATAATGAACCATGCTCGAAATTCTTGAGGAACAAAATGAATGATAAACAATTTTTTCACGGTCGAGGATAGCGGATCCAGCCGTAGGTCAAGCTTTACCGGAAGGTCTTGGCAAGATCCGAGGGTGGAAGAAGACTGCATTTGCGATTGAACTATCCCATGTGAAGGGCCTGTGTGCCTGCATTCCTTGCAGCAACAACCCTGGCGTTCCTTGAATGACATTGTATAAATGAACGTTTTGGTTCTATGCATGATATTGCAAATTGCGATGATGAAAGAAGCTTTCGGTGATCGTCAGTTTCTGATCACGCTGCTGGGCGTGGACGCCATTGCCATATCTTGTCAAAGGTATCGCGTTACGCTGCTGGGGGACAATGTTGCCGGCAGAAATTCGGTCGGCGACCAAAAATACACTTTTACCACCCCTGACTAAGTGCTTGGCATCTTTACAGCGCACCCAGGCATGTGCTTTAGCACAGGTAATAATGGAATGTCGACGGCCTATTCCACATTAGCACGTTAATACGCCATCAGTCATGTGTGCAGGTCGAGCCTGTCTACGCGAGACCTTGCCTACGCTTCCTACATTAAACCTTCGGAACACTGCCATCGTGTGCGTTGATTCGTTGGTCTGGCGTCAGTCCCACGACGGTGTTTAAATACACATGAAACCTGGATCAGTCTTTGACAACCAAATCGGCTTCGAGCTTGAAAAGCATGAACACGATGCCTCCATTAAACCTGGGAAACAAGAACATTGTGTGCATTGATTCGACCGCCGGGACTTGAACTCCACGGTGATGTGTGCAAATCGGGGTCACTGGTGGCGGTCTAGATACATGTAGGTTTTATGACCACATGAGGATTCCATTATGATTTTACATAGAGAGATTCCTTTGTTGGCCTTTATCTCTGCTTGCTATCTGGACACTAGTATCCATACAAAGTACACATACTCTGTGTGTGGTACGTGTTTTCGCTCCTTGTACACTGAGTGCCAATGTAACGTGTGTCAATGAGTCATTGAGTCAGTGTCATTTTGTCAATGGGTGTGAAAATATCAGGGGTCTGTTCCACTATGCGCCAGTCATGTATATATATTGGTTATCATCGGTTATGCTTTTCAAACACGGCAACAACTCAGGCTCAAATTGACATACAGCATGCCTAATGTTGCAGTTAAGTATTCTGACAAATGTAATACATTACGCACAAATGCACATACGTAAAACGTACAATGTAATGCCATTAAGTGGCGTGCCATTTAATAGCATTGCTCCCATGAAACCCACATTATCTTGCCGCAACCACGTCCACTTTCGTTGAGGAGCAGTCAGTCTGTACCATCAGGTGTTGTAGCGGCGGGAATTGGAAAGCTTAAGGAAGAACGTTCGAAACGTACGTGCATGTCCCACATATACACACATTCCCGGATTCGTATCTGAAATATTTGACGGCCCGTGATAACCACTAGTTAGCACTTCCGATGCGCAAACCCTCCACCCGCCACGGACCATATGCGGGCTGTAAGCTTTAGTGCTTATGTAATATGCTCTTGAACCAAGCTCGTAAATGGAAGCTACCTTACCACCTGACGCGCCGAGAGAGCACGACAACGCAAAGTTCAGCGATTGCTGTAATCAGTCACAACTTGAGTTTCAGATAAGCTGATAGCTGTCTGATGCTAGCCAGCTGTATGCTGGTACGTGTCGGTAGTAGTTTGAGGGACAACGTGATTTTCCAGGCCTTTTCCGACGATATTCGAGCCATGAACGCATACACTCCCTATCAGCTCCTGGACATACAGTATTGACATGCAGTATAGCACTTGCTTTAATACGTCAATTTTTGTCGGGCATCGACGAAATGATAGCTGTGATTATAGATGTTCAAATGCTCAAAGTATGTGAGAAACGCCACTACAACGGATCGTTGCAACGAACGAAATCCACCTCCCACAAAACTATGCTTGTGGATGGGAGAACGGCGCTCAGGCCACGCACAACATCCCGCATTACATGGACGTGCAGCCAGGGTACCCGCCATTCTGACAGCGGCGTCCTGCTACTTTTCATGATGGACAGATCGTGATCTTCACATGAAGCTCTACACCTACGCACTATGGCACGTTGATTATGAACTATGACACTCCATCGCGAACAGCAAACATACGCGGCGACCTCGAAGTCCTGGACGTGTTCAGACAATACCGCGGACCAGGCTCATCTGAACCCTATCACTTGAGTTCGTCACGAACAGACCAGCCCGCCGCTGACATGTCATGGAATGTGGCGACATGATAACGCTCGGAGCTGCTTCCGCGGTCTACGACTATGCGCCACTGAGGTCATCGGATCGCAGACGTACCTCACATAATCCGAATGACGCACACAGTTTACTCTCGATCAGATGACACGGTTATCTGGTACACTAGCCAAGCTTGACAACTGAACTTGTGACGCCTCATTCGCCCACACACTCTCCAAGTGTCCCGCTGTACGCCGAAAGACCCTTGCTGGTATGGAGTCCATCTCTCCTTCGCCGTCTGCCGGCTGGTCGCTCCAGGCCCGGGACAGTTTCAGCGAAGTCGCACACCAGAGCAGCCAGGTAACGGTTTGATCCGTTTCTGGGCCTCAGAGCTTGCCCCGGAAACATCCTTCACGTCCGTTCCGAGGATTACTCCTCAACGTTTAGTCCGGAGGTCGCTCCCACATGTGAGGCCCAGAGATCACTCCTCCACGTGGATGACGATGACGTCACCGGGTGCAGAGCACGCGCCACCGGTGGCGCCACCTGCACGCTCGCTAGAGGGCACGCCGCCGGGCAGGTCGTCGCTCGGACTGGCGGCGCTCGAAAATGAGAGGCTCGCGCTAGAGGCGGCCGGACTGGCGGCACTCGCACCGGAGGGTACCCAGCCGCGGGAACTCAGGCAGGAAGGAGTGGGGCTGGAGGGAACCGGACTGGGAGTGGTCACGCTGGACGGGCTGGAGAGGCTTGGGCTTGCCGAGCGCGGCGTAGAGGGACTCGAGCTGGAAGGAATGGGACTGGATGGCGCCGCGCCGGAGGGTCCGGGACTGACAGGTTCGGGGCGCGAGGGCCCCGCGCTGTTGTGGACGTGGCAGGTGCAACGACTCGGCGCTGTGATGTTCGGATTGAAGGCCTCTGCGTTAGCACAGGAATCATCTGCGAAGGAAGCCGAACGCGTGATTAAGTGAACAACACGAGCAGGGAACACGTGACATGTCCACATACATATAAGTACATAATACATACATACATATACGCACATACATATACGTGTCCTGGAGGAACCCGTCTTTACGAGTGTGTCTATCGGCATATCTGCAGGTGAATCGGACGAAGACAAGTGTGAGTTCAGTATCATTCTCTCTGAGTGCATCAACTGGAAACACGCATTTATTTGTCTTCGTCACGCCATGAGGAATTGCACCTGGGTACATCCACTGGGTTACAATGCAGACGCTTCAAATCAAAGTGGCTTCGTTACCAACCACTTGCATACCCTTGCCGGTGGCCGAGTGGGTGGGGATGGGGCCAGGAGGGGGGGGGGGGGGGCGGCTTCACTCACGTCCGCCGTTGCGGGCGGCTCCCTGGCCCGGCGCAGGCGAGCTGAGGGAGCGCCCCAGCGGCTCGTGGCAGGCGGCGACGGCGGCGGCCGGCCGGGCGGGGGCCGAAAGACGCCTCGGCGGCTCGGCGCGGCGCGCGGCCGCCGCCAGCACCGACGAGATGCGTCGCGAACGCGCCGGCAGGGCGCCAGTGGCTGCCAGACCGCAGCTGTGCAAGCTCTCCACGCAGGCCGGGCTGGGCATCACCAGGGACATCTGGCGACAGAGACGGGAACTCTGACGCGACGGGACCGGGAGCCGCGGCAAGCGAGCGCCGTGAAGGCCACGCACCATTGGAAGAGTGACAGTTTTCGAGTCGTGCGTGTTCGCGCTAGACAGGTGTCACAACAGCAGCAGCAGCGGTTCAGATCCCCGTGGCCGGTCACGACTAAGGCCGGGTCAGGATCCAGCTTAACATCGTAACGTTTTGATCAATCCGCTAAACAATGGTCCATGTTGTGGTCTGGTAAGAAAGGTAGACACAAGACATACCCTGGATGAGTTCATACACACAACCAATGCGAGTGACATCAATTAGTGCGTACAGGGGAAGGCACCGTCGGTACAAAAATATTCCATGCATAAATCAGAACGGAGAAGATGTCACTTAATCTCTTGAAGGCAATCTCCAGAACAAGATACGCGACGTACAGCTAAAAGAGAATCATGCGCACTCCGCGCCCATCCCTAACACAAGTTCAACCAGCTCCATTTAATAAAACCACGCCCGGGACTAAAAGTGACCCGGCCGGGATTCGATCAGGCGGTCGGGCGGCACGTACGCTCTGGAGGCTGGCGCGACTGACGGAGCGTGCCGGCGAGCGTCGGCCGGCGACGAACACGGCGGACTCGAGGTGCGAGCTGCGCCGCTCCGGCCGGCTGTTCAGCTCCAGGTGGATGATGCTCTCCTCGCTGACCGAGCTCTGGCGCCGAGAACACGTCCAGCCGCGTCAAACAGGAAAGACGTTGTCATCCTTCCGTCCGCTAGCTCAGCTGGTTGGAGCGCCGGCCGTCCGGTCCAAGCACACGGAAGGGCGGGTGTGGATCGCTTTAGACCATCGCTGTTTGCCCCTGGTCCGCATGCCTTCCGACCGCTGGCAACGGCCGCGCTTAAGGTCAGGTAACGTCAGGGGGTAGGACGGATCGTGCCAAGCACTGCAGCACGCTTAACTTTCGCTATCAAATTCTGCCATTAACCCCGAATTTTACGACCGAATGGTAGTGAGCGAGGCTCACTCAACACTACCTAGCGTAAACTCTGAGCCCAGGAGCCCATTCAATGAAAAGGCCGGATTTTTTGGCAACAAACGAGGTGGGCGAAGGTGTCTTGGTTTCGCGCTGTCCTAACTGCACAGCGTAACGATATTCGGAAAGTGACTGAAGCTTGGTGCTAAGCGATGCATTTCCTGACCAGTGCAATGCTGTGACGTCACGGATGTTCTGTTCCAGTGGATGAAAGGTCGGTATTACTGGTGGTTGGTGTCCTTGGAAACATATATCTTTGAATTGGGACAAATTTTAAGAAACATTTGAAACTATGGTTACCTCCCCAGTCGCGGAAAAAGCACGCTAAAATATGGCCTGCCTTGAACACCATGTATGTCGGTTCTCGGTAATAACAGTGCTGCATAAACGAGGTTCCATACCGCACCGTAGCCCGTACATAAGCAATCGGACATCTGTCGTCGCCGGACAAAGACCGACGTGCTCATGCGCATACCACCGAGCAGCTGACGCCATGCGCCGTCCCAGACGCGGACATAACTGGTGTGCATAGATGGCCAAGACGGGAGAGAGTCCGTTGCATCAGCCGCCGCCGCCGAGGACCGTTACCATCTGCATGCGGAGCGCGCGGTGCCCGCGCCGGATCTCGACATCAGCGGTGATCGTCGCTGCCTGGGCCCGCTCCGCGTCCGTTGTCAGGCGCCGTGCGCTCGCCGAGACTAGCGGCACCCATCGATAGTCGGCAGAGCCGGCGGTCGTCGAGGGCACCGCATCTCGCCCGGGGCAGGCCCGGCCGGCGACCACGCGCCGTCGGCCGAAACAAAGCCAGTTAGGGGCCTCGGGCGTCGTGTGCGGTCGCGGTCGGCACTCGCCGGGCGGTAGCAGCCGGTAATGGGACCACTCGCGGCCGCGGTGCGCCGCCGTACCACACCCGTCCGGAGCGGGCGGCGGCCTGTTAGCGCGCCACTGAAAAAGCGTCGGTCGGGCTGGCTGGTGGAGCGGTGAAACGGACCTTGCTGAGGTCGGCGCCAAAAACCGCTCGGAGACAGGCCACCCTGGCGTCAGCAGACCAGGAAAATTGGAGAATATCGCAGTCGGCCCGCTCTGGACCGTTTCCAGCCTGCGAATCTGTTCAAAATTTCACCGAAGTAACACTCTTTCCAGGGTCGGGTTTGATTCAGCACTAGTATTCCCACGTATTCAGACAATCATGACTCGGGGGGGAGGGGGGGGAGTGAAATTCAGTATGTCTGGAAACTATTTGCATCTGATTTGGAAATTTCAGCCTCCTATCGTGCCATACCACGGTTATTACTCGTTACTCCTTAAAGTCTTTCGAGGAAAAGTTCGCTCCAAATTACATGCGGATATCAAAACGTCGAATCACCATGCGGAACCCGTCCTAAATATCCTGCATGATTTCAACGTGTGAGAGCTCATCTTGAAACCGCACGGGGGGAAGGATAAGGAGGGTCATGTGTTGGGAATGTGCGAAAAGATGCCACGATGGCGTCTTTTGGAAACATATATTTCGGAATGGGAGCCGGCGGTCGGTTTTTTTTTATTTCCCAGTCGTGGAAATGACATGCCAAAATATGGCCTGCCTTGAACTTCACATATTGGCAAGTTTCATCGCTCGCCACGTACGCCGTGACGGACGACGGAACCACCAACACTGGCCAAGGTCAGCACAAAACTCCGATAAACCCAATATTTTTTTGAGACTGGTGACGGCCGAACGCAGATAAGCTACCGCGCAAGACGCAACAGACCACAAGACAAGCGATCAGTGGGCACGTATCCGTGATAACGAAACATTTTGTCAGTCATTGAGATCCGGCTACTTTTCCAGGTCTCCCAGCGCACCAGAGCACGCCGCCTGCGCGGCGTGAGTGCGCGGACCAGACCCGGTCACGCTGACTGATCGAGCCTCATACGCTTGAAACTGCGTGACTCATTGACGTGGTGTCATTGACTTACCAAGCCATAGTACTTGAGAATATCCATTTTGCACATTGGGCACGTCCTATTCTTGAGCAGCCAGGGGTCCACGCACACCTTGTGGAATTCGTGGCTGAAAAAGGTGACGGCGTTAACATTATGTCCTACAGCATATGCAGCCACATGTAAACCAACATATTTATACAGTGCAGGAAGCAGAAGTTAACGGCTGACTTATGGTGCGATGATGGACTAAGGAGCGTACGCCATTTTAACTGCAGCTACGCCATTTTAACTGCAGCTACGCCATTTTAACTGCAGCTACGTCATTTTTACTGCGGCTACGCCTTTTCAACTGCAGCTACGCCATTTTAACTGCAGCGATCACGATGCTTTGCACGGAATTTTGAAAACAGCACACAACATCCGCAAACTAACGTTTAGAAATGCATTTTACGAAATTTCTTTAAACGCCTCATATTTGAGTAATGGTGTCATACAATTCCACAAGAGCTGTCATGATCCTACATGCTGACATGGCACACACAATTTTTCAAGGGATGACTTCACGACACATGCAGAAATTTTGCGCTCCTGATCATATGCCATTATCATGACCGGAAACAAATTCCGCATTCAACTCCAGGCTGCCAACCGTCGCAATCTTTCACGCAGATCGATGAAGGTATAATATAGCTACTGCCCAACATTCATATTTTTACATAGCCTGTAGAGCGTCCCCACCGTCGCTCCAACTTGGCTACACCTGCACACGCCTCGTAATCATCGTCAGAGACCAAGCTATGCCGGTGGATCGTCGCTCATAAATAATCCAGCTTACCCGTGCTCGATGTATACAACAAGGATAACTGTTCATCACAAAATGTACAAACATCGGACATCCCATTTTGACAAACATTAGACGTCCATCAAGCATGTACACATCGCCCTGGTCAATATTGGCCGCCTCATCGTACCACTTAGAGACGCGGTGGCAGCGACCACGTTCGACATGCGCTTGATCATCAGCAGGCCGCGTGACGAGAGGACCGATTGGCCACAAGACGTGGCCGCACTATAAACCACACCAGCACGGAGCCCGACAGGGCCGCCATTCGACGCCGAAGCGTGCGCTGGAGAGCAAGCGACCTGCCGCCTGGGGCCGACGTGGTTCCCTCTCTACAAGGCGAGGCCGAGTCCGACAACTGCGACCTTGGAGCGGAAGAAAGGGCACAGGCAGCCCAAGTCAGTTCACGCCGTTTCCAACCAAACCAGTTGGCATCATCTGCCGAAACCAGTCCATTTTGTGACTTCGCGACCGGGGAGGTTACAGAGAGTTTTTTGTACAACGCGTCCTTCAAGGAAGCCAAATGCTTGGAATTCCGAGTTACGAAACCTTTAGCTCCAACCGGCGTTAGATGCGGTGTTAACATAAACCTCCCACCAAAACTATAACAGATAATATTCCCCGCCCCAAGTGCCTACTTGCGGGACACTGTCCGTTATAATGCCCTGGGCGTAAACGTGATGTTCTGCGCCGAAGGTCAAGAGCCGCGACGCGACTGAATGCCTAGAAGAGCTGCTGCTCACGTGCTGGCGACGTCGACACACTTATTGGATTGGGCGTGGTGTCGACCCGGAACCTGCACGTGGTGGGGGCCTGCACTGCACGTGCCTACGTGATGCACAGCCCGCGGGCTTCCCACAGACTGCTGACCTTTCGCCGGTCACCTCCGGCTCTAGCCTAAGAAGAGGCACTCAGCGCGACCGCCATGCCCCAAGCTGCCGGGCCTCTAAGCCGGCAATTGCGCTGAGTGTTTCACCCAGTGTCGGCAAATCCCTGCAATGTTGGGATACTTTCCAACCTAAATTCGGCACGCCAGAATGCCGCGGATAACACCGCAACTGTCCGTGGGCCTTTGTGACGGTACCAGTGCAGCTGAGGGATGAAGGCTGCAAAACAACAGCGGGCAGGACAACATATGGGAATCAGTTGTGTTTGCACGCTTGACCTAGACTGCAAAATGGTCCACTGCAAGTGCCTTTTACCAAATAAATGTGAGATCGGTCGTCAAGATAGATTGTCATGATGAGACTAATGGTACTTGTATTACAGCTAACTACAGCTAACTACGTCGTCGTGTTGCCGTTACACTGGGGCTCGCGTTGCCGTAACGACATGAAACTGCGAAAACATCAAAGACGACGTCTGGCTTAAGATGCACTCACCTCTTTTCCACGTACCACCCATCAATATGCAGCTGACAACGCGCACGTGGGAGCCGTTCGCGGCGTGTGAGGAACGAGGTCATACCAGACGTGATAGTCATCCCATAAGGATGTTACCGAAGCATAAGCAGACGTCGCCTTTGCTTTAGTGCGTTGAAATATCCTCTTTCATGGGTGCAGCAGGCACGGATGCACAAATGTATGGAATTGGCGCACATCACAAGTGCGCCGACTATTCACATGTGTGCGCGTCGCGCGTGGTAGTCTGCACACATCGCCCCACACCGTTTCCCGTACCATCGTCGGTCTTCTCCCCGCCACTGACAGGTAATCTTACAGTGCCGCGGCGCCTGGTCACCGAGGTCTGATCTCGTTACCAAGCGGTGTATTCTGCTTTTTCAATCCGAAAATTTCACGTTTCCTATGATAGTCAAGTACAGCAGCAAAATAACAACGGCGTCTTTGCAAAGCTGCAAAGGCATGCCACCGTAATCATACGGCTTGCATTTAAATGTCTTGAAAACGTTATAACACAACTTTTAAAGAGCTTGCTGCTTAAAAGTAGCTGCAGCTACTTTCAAAGCTGCTTGTTGCCAGAAGCTCCATGGCGTTACAATTATTGGGCGTGCAGGTAGCAGTTAGCTCACGTGCGGGTAGCCATAGCTGTAGTTAGCGTGCGGGTAGCCGTAGCTGTAGCTAGCGTGCGGGTAGCCATAGCTGTAACTAGCGTGCGGGTAGCCGTAGCCGTCCGTGGAAGCCGTTACTGGTGCGGCCGGACCGCTGACGCTACAACATCCGGTCGCTTGACCCTGAGACTCGCTCCAACTGCGAGCTAGCTCGTAATGGGATATCACTACTGTCTGTTTTAAAAACTCATAGACTCCATTCAGTAATAGCGCATCCCCACATCCCCCGAAGAAGAGAGCACACCGGCGCGGCCGGTGCAGGAGGTCCGGAGACAGAGCGGGCGGCTGTGTGGGGTAGCACGATCAGAGCCGTACCCCCGGCGCCGGAGCACTCACTTGCAGGGCAGCATGCGCAGCTGCTCGGCCACCCGGTACGGCTCCAGGCAGACGGCGCAGCACTCGCACTCGTCCAGCTGCTCGTCTCCAGACTTCAGCGTCTGGACGGGTATCTTCGACAGCGCCTTCCTCGCTGCGCATGTCAGCCGCTTCTGGAAGAGGGCGTTCAGACGGGTTCGCGAGTCATGGGCGTCGGCTGGACGGGACGGGAACGTTTGGCGTTTGTGGAAACATTTGCCCGTCGCTACATATGTGCTAAAGGAAGATGGACGTATATACGCTTCAGGGCGCTTTGCAAAGACCCCGCTCAAGGGCGCATAGGAACTAGGAACGGAATGTGAGGCAGCAAGTCAAGAACGCGCAAACAGATAATGCACGTATCCAGTTAGGTCAGCAGTCACTGGCCATGAGCAACTGATCGCACAACGACAGATACAGTGTCCCTCCGCGTGCAAACTGGAGGGAAGGGGGGGGGGGGACACTCGCGACATTCGTGTAACCGGCGTGAAAGGAGACCCGGACTGCATTGCCTGCCGTGGCCAGGGCCGGCGGCCAGCAGCTTACAAATGGTCGGCCCTCTGACCGAGACACTGAAGGACGTTGACATCCCAACTTCGACACGAACACCTACTGAGGCCAATGACGTTATTTCCCACCGGGGCGCTGGTCACTACCTCACGCTGACTGCACGGGACCGTGGCCGCTCCCACGGGACGGCTGGTCGCAGCAGCACACGCACGTGTATGGACATCCGGCACAACTTTCGGGGGAGCCCAGCTCCTAATGCCTCTGAACTTTAAACACTTCGCATGGATGTCATAGACCTAAAATCCTAACGTGCCGCCGCCAACTTTGACAAAGTGCTGTCGCCGAACACGGTTGCGACCAGCATTCGGGCCGGCCGCCAGGTCGCATGTGCCAGAGTATCAGCAGTGACTGCGAGCCGGCCGGCACGGCCAGGCTCCGTTCGTGAACTCCGACTCCGACTCCGACTCGGCTTCGCTCGCAGACTCACCGCCAGTCGGTCCTTGGCGTGGATGTAGCGGAAGCGTTGCGCGTAGTAGAATAGGAGCCAGGCCAGCGAGATGACCATCAGCAGGATGAATGACACGGAGACGAACAGCACCGACGTCCTGCAATAGTGGAACATGCTGACGTCGGCCTCCTGCCGAGCCGGCGCCGGGGTCTGGACGCGCGGGGGGTCTCCTCTCGGGTCGGCCACGGCGTCCGCCACCGCGGCCGGTCGCCACTCGTGATGCGAGAGTCGCCCAGACGTCCGCAGTTGAACTGATGAGAGCCCCACGGCTGAGGCTCGCCGCAGGCTCCGCTGCTGAGGAGGGCCCGCCCCTGACCACGCCTGGACGGTGTGATCCCGACGACGTGCGGCAGCCCACGGCGGTCGAGAACGTCCCCAGCCGCGCGCCGTTGAGGTCATGTGACGTCCCCCTCCCCGCCGACGCCCGCCGTGTGTCAGTGACGCACGGCACGTGACTACACGTGCTGCGGGAGCGGCAGACGAGGCCTCCAATCAAATTCGGGGGTTCGCAGATGCGGGGCGATAGGACCGACGAGACAGTAACGGGTAGCTAGCCAGGGTCAGCTGGTCTGCAACTGCCCAATGGGCACTCTTCTTCAGAGAATGACGTCACAGGCGACCGTTATGTGATGGGCTCCAAAACCACGAGGGAAAAGGAGCTGTTCAAGTCAATTGTTCTGCGTAACAGAAGTGTAGGGAAAATATTTCAAAATGCGGTACTGATATCCATCAAACGCGATGCACTTCATATTCAACATAGTAAAAATCCTTTTCCCGAATGAGCCTTTCCAATTGGCTTCAAATAAGAGGTTTACCAGGCTATTGTGTAATATCTGGAAAAAATGTGTCAAACTTTTGCTGTCAACTGTGGACATATTTTCAAATACTTGCTGCTGCTCTACGTAAACCAATAACAGCATGAAAGGAACAGCTGCTACCTGCTTTCAACAGGACCTAAAGAGCAGTCAGAGACACTGGTTGAAGTACGCTTGGAAAAGTCAGCGGCTGTTGAACACGTTGCGGCGTGCCGGGAGGACATGCCTTGCACAGAAGCGGACATCCTGGTCCGGAACAGGCCTTTCAGAGAAGAGCGTAGGCTAATAGAGGCCAAAGCCATGTTCCGGCTAAGGCCCACTCTAAGCCGAGACAAGCGTTTAGAGTGGAGCCACGCCTGCGGAGGCTGGGTGGATAAAAAGAAAGGTTGGATAGAACCTGCTCTGAAAACCAGATTTTCAGCCTTAAAAGTGATAACTGCTAGCATGTGCTCGTTCTTGGCTCTTTGTTCATGGGGGCCCTAGATGCGATCGCGCGTTCAATGACCATCTTTTCTTTTCAGGTTTGCGCTGTTGCACGACCAGCAGTAGGAATCTGCAGACCGTCTACGATCGGGCCCGCTGCGCCATAAATGTCGTATATTTATCGACATGCCTAGGTAGGTCAATATGCTTTATTGATAACCCGTGTCTTCCAGCTTTGAATATGACCCGAAATCCCCACGATTTGCAGCGTTTTCAGTTGTTTCGGAAGACTGTAGGATGGGAATGACTTTGTCTTTATCTGATCACAGGTTTTATAATGACTCATGAATAGCTCGCGGTATGATTGAATCGCTATACGTGCACAAACGCGGCGGACATCCGCGTCTTGAACCACGTGTGATGTCACATTTGCTTGCTTACGTTCGGTTTTGTTTGGATGTCGACCCATTTTCAGCATTGGCGCATTATATCAAAAAAGGGTCTCCGAACTACATTACTAAATTATTTCTGAATATACTTCAAAAGGTTCAGATAATTGACCACAGCTCACTGAATGCTGTAATCCGAAAAATACTTCCAAAGTAGGGATAAGCATGAGGGCATCCGGCATTGATGTAATCCTATGTCAATCGCTAATGAGTCGTTCCATTTTGTGATCCCCCTCCCGGATAAAAGGCTGATCATATTGCAAAGTCCAGTTCCATTTTGAGCGGCATTTGCTATTGATCAATGGTATGCTGCCGCCTAACCTCTATCCTTAATCATTTATCGACGTTCGTACACATACCAGGCCAAGCACGCCATCCCATTACAAGGCAATCGCAAATATCGTCAGTGGTTGCTCGTCCGATGGCAGCTGTAGGGGCCTGTCGGTGCCAGCGGCGATGGCCGTCGCGTTCCACAGAGGTCATCATGCACGGACAGCGACATCGCCGCGGCGTGCGTCGCAGCCGACAATTCCAGGCACAGGTCACAGTGTGCTGCCGCTAGCGGACGTCACCTGGCAGTCTCACGTCATATCTCGGATGGCACGCCACCGGCTTGCATCCGTCCTCAAGCAAATCGCATCAAGCAGCGGACTCATCACTGTGAGTTAGATGGCGGCCAAAGGACGCCTGAAATACTTCAGTAGGTATGCCGCGACATGTTTATGGCAGGCATGCATTCTAACGGCGCGTGATAACAGATTCGACCTCATTCAGCCCGATAGCAGATCACGTTAGTGGCCATTCTGTCAGTGTGCTTGAGGCTTGTGCTAAGGCTGTTGACCCATACGGAATTTCTTCGCCCCGACGGAACATGTCGACAAACATGAAACCCTGTGACTTGCTACTGATCCACCAGCACGATATGCATGTTTTATACGCTGTTCCAGACTTATCTGATCATTGAAACATCAGCTAATATTGGCGTAGCTCAAATACGCCGTCCGGGGTCAGCTGCTTATCTTCTCCAGAGGCTTCCATCGTTTCCACCTTGTGCGTGACCCGTCAAGTGCAATGTGCAGCTACCGCAGGGAAATGGGCCAATTTGATTGCCAATGTGCAAGGAGTGTGCGTATTTCACTTCATTCATTCATTTCATTTCGCAGTTCACTTTCATTCCACATTTCATTTTTGTCACGATTTGTTGACAGGATAAGAATATGACAAGTCGACAACAAGGAGAAGATGTCAGCGGCCGCTTCGCCACCCTGACCAGTGATGCTAGTCCCCGCGACTAGGGCATACATCGACACGATGACCTCGCCTATTCGTGAGCTAATTTCCTGCGTTGTCGCCTGTCGCCTATCAAGCTGGCTAGCCGGAATAAGGTCCTGCGCTCTTCATCCGCCTGGAGCGGACGACACTGGGTACTCTGATATGAGCGCTCCGACGCGGCAGCTCTGACTCTCTGATTTGATGTGAAGCGCTCTGATCTTACGGCCTTGGCTACTCTAAGGCGCTACACTCTGAGACGCTCATACGCTCATACGACTTCTTTTGCAAGTCTACGGTGAGGATGTGCACCATAATCTGAAGACTTTAGCGCTATAGTGTGCTACAACATCTGACGTCGTGCTCTGACAACGCTGGCTGTCCGATACGAGGTCTGTCCGAAAAGACAGTCATGACTGGTGTGATGCAGGGTCCGTCTACACCGCGCGGGCCGTCCCGGCTTCGCCGCCCACTCACAGGATACCGCAGGCTGCGGCACTCTGCGTCGGCGTGCAGACCTTGCCAAAGATGAGCACCCAGAAGCTGCGTGGCCTGCCGGGCCTGGGGAGGTCAGCGTCGGCGGCCGTCGTCATGTCCGCAGTGGGCGTCAGCACCAGGGGTTGCCGTTATGTCCGCAGTGGGCGTCAACATCAGGGATTGGCGTCGTGTCTGCAGTGGGTGTCACCAGCAGTGGTTGGCGTTATGTCCACAGTCGGCGTCAGCATCAGAGGTTGCCGTCGTGTCTGCAGTGGGTGTCACCAGCAGTGGTTGGCGTTATGTCCGCACTGGGCGTCGGCACCAGGGGTTGCCGTCAGGTCCGCAGTGGGCGTCAGCACCAGGGTTGGCCCACGTCCGTAGTGGGCGTCAGCATCAGGGGTTGCCGTCATGTCCGCAGTAGGCGTCAACATCAGGGACTGGCGTCGTGCCTGCAGTGGGCGTCAACACCAGGCGTTGACGTCGTGTCTGCAGTGGGTGTCACCAGTAGTGGTTGGCGTTATGTCCACAGTGGGCGCGAGCATCAGGGGTTGACGTCAAGCCAATGAGTCTGTATATCTAGCACGCTCACTGGGACGTCTGCGCGATCACTCGGGACGGATCACGCGAAACATACAAATGGGCTGGCTGCTGTCAGCGGTACCCTCGTCCACAATGACATCACAGGGGGTCGCTCGGGCCGTGTGCTGGGCGTAGTTTTTGGCCTGCAAACGTAGGTAAAATGGACGTTGATGCGCTTTCTGTCATCAAAAGTCAAGGCTTGTGCCATAGGAATATTAATAAAGACTGGCGCACAAACAGCTGTTCAAGAATACAAATATTTCTAAATCAGGAGCAAATAAAACAAAGAAAGGCGTGAAAAAGACCACACAGGTGACAACTACGCCAACAACGAAAAACAGACAAACAACCTCTGGGCGGCCGGCGCAGCCTTCATTTGAAAGCTCCCCACACCTATCTGTTCATGCCGAAACAGACAAACATTTGCAATCACACAGCGCGTTCGAAAATGTCTGCAGTGGTCGTCTATAGAGCTGCTAACCGATAGAACGTGGTTGGGCCGGTCCCGACACCAAATGGAGTAGCGTTACGTTGACACCTATTGCTTGACGGTGATACGCGGCCTCCACGTACTAACTGCGGCCATCTCATCCGTTCAGCTAGAGAAACAAAAAGACCCGAAGAGTGTTTTTAAATATTTTCAAAATGTGCTCATTTCGCGACTCGTCTCAGGCACACCGTGGTTGTCCCTTGGGCGCAACCTCCTCTCATCCAGCGCCCCGCGTTCATTCTGGCACCCACTTGTTGAGGTTGGTGACCGAGTAGCTGAAGTGCTTGCCGGGTGTTATCTGCATGGAGACCTCAATCCCGCTGTCGGTCAGATACGCCAGATCCTCGCCCTGCTCCTTCGGGATATAGATGGTAACGATCGTGTTGCCTGTGGACAAATTATTAGGCGTTAGTACCAACCCACAATACAGATGGCAGCACCTATCATGGATGCGTGGCGAACACCAGCGTCGTTTCGCTCGTCTTCAACAACACACGGAACCCGTTACCAGTAAAGAGACACGCCTGAAAGTCGTCAAGAAGACGACTCTGCAGTTACAAAGCTAGTAGTCTCAACAAGGAGAAATGCCTCAAAATGAGTTGGTGGCGGGGGGGGGGCTGAGCCATGAAAATGGCAAAAACCTCTCAGAAAATGCGCCATCACGTGGCTCTATCCATGAATTTGGCCAATTTTTGTTCTCAACGTTGGGGGCTGGAGCTAACCACTCACGTGAAGGAGAAACTACACCGCTGGGTCCCGTCGTCATTATATGACTTACTTCGCTGCAAACCGCCGAGTCAGTGCCCTTTTGTGAAGTTGAAGAAGTTGAAGAGGGAGTCGCGCAGGGACTAGGAGGGTAAGAGAAATCGTGCCCAAACTTTCTGAAAATTGAATACTGGCCCTGGGCGTTGACAGCAAAGAAATGACCAAAAATTTTCAAACCCCTCCCAACTTGGAATGACTTGCATTGCCCTGTTTTATAGCTGCTCTTTGACCATTCACAGGATAAGGTGGTGCCAAGCCCAGCGCTAATGGAACATACGAACTGCAATGGTGCCTCGCATTGACTATGCTGGACTGTATATAGTGACTTTCATGATACCTCGCAATGATAAATAAACTGCAATGGTACATAATGGCATGGGCTACAAACAATGGCGTGCAATACACACCACTCATCCTGCAAAATTGTAGATTGTGTAAAATTGTGTGAAACGTATCCTATGCGTAATTTGTTCAGTTGCATTTCGCACAAATGCAATGATTTTGCACCCATCATTACGTGCCGGCTGGGGTACCGTCAAGGACTTTTAATAGGGAAGGACAAGCTCTGACGTCAAGTTTGGCCAAGCCCACTGCTCGAGCCTTCACGTACCCCTAGCCCACCCTAGTGCTCCTTTTGACAGCCTTTTTAAATAATCTGCTTAGACAATTTTTTGTTTTTAAAAAGTCTGTCGGTCTGGTCACCCCTCTGGATTTGATTCCAGGGAGAGAGTGGGAAATACGGAAACAAAATGGATCCGCTACATATCGGCAGACAAAATATCGAACTCAAAACACTGACACACCGTATCGACTACGAGAACACCGACACTGCAAAGTGTCGGCACGCAAAATATTGACTCCTCAAAATACAAACACCACGAAATATCAACATTACGAAATTTCGATATTACGAACTACAGATAGGTTGAATATCGGCACTGGACACGAGGATTCACGTACACGAGGATGACATGGGCCTAAACCGATTATGTGTGGAACCAAAGAGTTTTCAAGATCCGGGCGTGCCAGGTGTCACGTGCCAAACAAGGTGAGACCCGCACATGGTTATTTGCCGTCTCCAGAGAGAGCTCAAATGTGCATGAGGGGTCGTCTGAAGGCGTGGTCACCCGTTCTGCAGACATCATGCTAATGACTAATGCACGGTGGGGCCCGTCGTCGTTGAATCGTTAATGCATGGCGAACATCATTTCCTAAGCGCGTAAAACACTACCACGTTTCCAGGAAGTCAATGTTGTCATCTACAGCGCTTGAAACAACAGGACGTATGCTGAACTGTTACTAATTTGCTTTCTTTTGCGGATTACGTTCAGCAAACTGGACAACCAAAACCTGTACAAGTACAATGTGCTGTCATATGCCGGTCATGAACTAGCAGTTATTCCATGGTGCCACGCTGTTTAAATATTTACACACAATCAAGGATGCATACTTAGTGGGGCGATGGGCGGCTGCCGGGGTGTGGTTCCTATTTAGTTGGAGGAGCCCCAGTCCCTTCCCTTACTTTGATAAACATTCGAAATGAGAAAAGTGGACAAAATCCGGGGAGAACCCCGTTTGCCGGCCTAATTTCGGGATAGGTTTCGTCATTTTTCACAGTTAAGTCCCCAACTCATTTGCAAAACTACGCCATTGTCAGCTGCGCCACAAAAGGCTTAGTTGGCAGAACTCGGCGCAAGAATGGCGCACGCGCCGTTAGCTGCAACGATACCTCTTATATGCATGACCCGTTTTCCTTCTCTCATGATCAACAGCAACTCATGCGGATAACCGTGCAGTAATCAGCATCCTTCGCCGTTAAGCCAAGCTTTAAAGGCCTGGACACGCGGCGGTGGCGGCGATGACGGAAGTGCAGCGAGACCTTCTGGGGTCCAGGCACGCTTCCGGGACGAACTGGCCAGATTCCTCTCAGTCCCGACTGACTGGCGCCCAGTGAGCCGTTCTGCATCACTGCCCCGCCGCCTGGTGCGGTGCCATTGAACCATGTCTGGCTTTAACCGGGCAAGCGGTGGGAGATGCGGGCTAAGCCACGCTCTAACGATCACAAGCCATGGAGCTCTCTGGACATGAACCGGGGACGGTTGTTTATTCCTCGGAAGAAGCACTTTCAGCGTCGGTGCTAAGCGAGCGCTCAGACGCCGGTGACGGGTTTGGAGTAGGATCACGGTCACCCAGTCAGTGTCTGACATTGCATCTGACGCCGTGCTGAGTCCGGGCCAACAGCTACAGCTCAACATTCATCCTGTTGCAAGTGCTGTGGACGACGACACTCGCTTCTTGGAACGTTGAAAACGAAAACGCAGTGTTTTGCGCACTTGGGAAATAATCAAGTCGTGCATCAGTAATTCAACGACACACCCCAACATGCATCAATCACTAGTTTGTCTGCCCGACAGTCCCTTCTGGTGATCACATTTTCAGACGACCCCTCAGGCAGGTCTCAGCTCCTGAAGACGGGGAATAACCAGGCCCGGGTCTCTCCTGGTTTGGCACACGACGCCGTTCGACCGCGTCTGCTGCTTGTGAAACTTGGACGCCATCTCTAGACCGAAGCCGCTTGACCGAAGTCACTTAACCGAAGCCCTTCATCCCTGAGCGGGAAACCCTGGCTGCTGCGACGCGCCCTTGACCACTTCTTTACTTAGTCGGCCTGCAACTGGCACTGGAAGGTGAGCGCTGGCTGCGGCACGGCAGCATTGAGCACAGTCAGCCACTCGGAAGGGCCCAGCCATGTCATTGCGCAGCGTGCTCGAAACACGACGCCGCCTCCCACAGCTGGGGACCGGCGACAAGTCGGCTCCGGGTTCCGCTTCTCACCACCCAGCAAATGGCACACGTGACAGCGAGCATGTCTGGCCTGGCGTGCCTGCGAGCCATGGCGCGCCGGCTCCACGCGAGCCTCGCACGCGCCGCCGGGCGGTGACCGCGACCACCGTCCGCCGCCGCGTCAACCCACGCCGTCCGCCGCAGCGGCAGCCCACGCCGTCCGCCGCCGCGCCCATTACCGTCGGTGCTCGCGATCGGTGGGCGGCCGGCGGCACGCTCGGGCGCGCCGGCTGGGCCGGCAGCGGCGCCAGCTGCGACAGCCGTGACGGGCCTGGGAGGCGCCGGACCAGCGCTCCCACGCCGCGCGGCGGCGGTCACGGCTCCCTGGGCGCTGGGACGCCGCGGCGCCGCCGCTGACCGGTCAGGGGCCGCCGGCGCCGCGGCCGGCCGGCGACAGGCGGCCCAGGTCAAGGCGCTCAGTGAGGCGTGCCCGGAGGCGGCCAGTCGGGCGTCACCGGCGCCAGCTCAGAGCTGGGTGGAAGAGGAGGCCCCTGCACGTTCCGGGAAGTGCCGCTTAGTGCTTGGAAAGATAAAGCGCAGACAGGCATGCAAGACAGTCGCGTCAGAGCCCGATCAAGGACGCATGGCGGACCAGTTTGAAGACGTGTGTCCCAGTCCCGACCAGACCAGTGGAAAGCCAGGTGCGCTTCGGTGGGCAACGCCATCTCTACTCGAATCTGGATGACGATGGGTCACGTAAGGCCGTGGGCTCCCGCATCATGTCTGTTCTTCACTGACTGCGACCTCCATTTCCCAACAGTCTTTGGAACATTTATCGTCGTAATTAGAGATCAGAACTAATGGAAAGGTTAAAAAAAAAACATTTTCTTGGTTTCTACAAGTATAATTCTTTTTATTCCTGTTCATCCTGGCTGATCGAGATTTCACCAATGTTGTATTTTACATGTATTTAATCGATTCTTTCGTGCGTATCCGCAATGCATTGCACACATCAGCCAAATTCGCACCATCGGCTCCCTGTATTTTATCCAGTGCATGTAATGTCTTTTTGAAAACATTAGAGGTGCGCTCATGCTAGTACCTGAATAACCAAGATAGCGAATACGTCAGCCCTTCTCCCCTTTCCAGACTTCTCACGATGTGCTTCTGTTTAAGGATGTTGCTTAAGTTTATCTGCGTCCCATTTGAGCTAATGCGCCTCCGCATGTGTGGTGCTGGTCATGCTAGGTATTGCACCCCTCAGCTAGTCGGTATGACTTGTGATGTCGTTCGGCGTCATCGTAATTGTTCCCCAGCACTTCCGCTATTCATTGACATTGTTCCGTTGAATTATGCTCTCTAACAGCGCCGCCGCCGTGCCATTCTTCTAGTCTCAGTATGCTGATGACTTTTTGTTTCGCTCAAGAAACAAGATTTTTGAAAATGTTCGTAACGTATCGCTAGCTTTGAAAATATAATTATAGTGGAGTCAATAAGCTGCACTGTAATTGTGAGGAATCACGACATTTCGCATATGTATACTTTATGCTATACGATTGTACATTCTCAACATAAGTGAAAAAGTCGGTAGGTATAAAACTTTATTCCTCGGAGAAAAACCAGATGAATAGACATGTAGATGCGTTGATATTTCGGCAGCATGCCTTTATCGAAGCAATAGCAGAAGTGAATTCACTTATATTCACTTCTGGTATTGTTTCGATGCAAGCATGTTGCCGAAATATCAAGGCATCTATTTATTCATTCTTATGGTTTTCCTCCGAGGAATAAGGCTATTACCACTGGCTTTCTTATCTATGCGAATGATGTTCCTCCCG